ACTAGTGAATATTTCACTCACACTAACTTCTTTTCCTGGTACTGTCCAACTCAATTAGTAAATACCAGATAAACTAGTTCATAATCTCGGAAGTTTAATCACATCAGCCCTTATACATCTGATTCTGCTAACCGCATCACCACTGCACGTACTTATATCGGCTTTTAGTAGTTCGCTTGTACTTATTAGTGCACAGGTTGTTGATAGCTTTAATACAAATCAGAAGTTATATGTGCACTAATGGAAGTTTTTAGTATGTTTGCAACACGTGTAAAAATAAATACAGTGCGAAATGGGAGCGAGTCAAAAAAGGGAACTTATCGGATGTGGGAGTCCATTGGTGGAAGTCCGGAAGGTGGGAACGTTTTTCCTCCGCAGTTTGGCTGCTACGCGTATTCCATAGTTGTCCGTGGACCGGGAGTGTTTGGCTGACTCCTGGTAACCAACACTCCCTGCGCACGCGCGCGAGTCTGTGTCCTGACTGGATTCGGTTTCCGTTTATGTAGGTCCCAGTGCGTGTACGTGGGCACGTCGGCACAATGGTATTTGCTACGCTGACTAGGCGGTGCAGACAATCGATGTCCGATGAGTCAGCTTAATGTGACGTGCTTGTGGGTATGAGAAAAAGACGAGCCTCGCGATCCAGCGAGCGACTGTGAGCTGAACAACTAAGTGTGTGGGTGACCGGGTAGCTGCATACTTTAATATCTTGTGCTAGCAAACCCAACCCCTGGTCACCAGTATACTAAGTAAAATACATCCCTATCTTACCTCATATAATCACTTGTTGCCATCGCTCTAATCGCAGTAGACGTCAAGTTTTTCTTTTCATATAAATTAATGCACATTTTTCCATTCGACGCTCCTGCAAACTCACTAATCTCATCCCATCAACTGATCTTTCCAAGCTTTGAAATGCGGCAACACTCGGTTTTGACGATTTGGTTGGTTTTTATCCACTCCACCTAGCCTATGATCTACATCCACAAGATCCCCAAGTGGACGAAAAAACCTGCGATCCTATAGCGGCTTCGTTCTACGTTGTCTCCTTGGCCAGCCCGAAAAAATCTCACTGCTCAAAAAATCGCACATTCCAGTCCAAGGTCCTTAGATCTAACGCCCTTTACGGTACTGTGCAAAAACCCATGTATGTTTGGCCGATGTTGGCACGGCACTGCCACCCCCATTTTGATAGCACACCCGCAGCTGTTTTCTTCCATCTTTTGACCGTACCACCTCACCTACTCGTCCCAATAACTGCAAATACGAACCAGCTACCCGCCTTACCCCAGCTGTCTCCATGACATGTTCATTTCACACCCCCATTTAGCACACCCGCAGCTGTTTTCTTCCATCTTTTGACCGTACCACCTCACCTACTCGTCCCAATAACTGCAAATACGAACCAGCTACCCGCCTTACCCCAGCTGTCTCCATGACATGTTCATTTCAATCTACCGAACCTTTAGTTCGAATTTAACCATTCCTGTGTCTGTGGTTCCCACGAAATTCAGTAACTTTGTATCCAGCTCGTGTTCCGTTTCGAGTGTTGCCATCATATCACTCTTCCAAGGAACTATTATGTACGACTATACAGCAGCGACACCAGTTATTCTCTACGTTTTCACCGTAAGCCAAGTTTCTGAGATTCCTGTCACTACTTATCCGCTTCGCTAATCCCTCCACTTCGTCATCCCCACTTAGGGTTCATCGGAGTTGAACGTGATTAACTTCCATACAAACGCCAGCGAAATGGATTCTATTATCCTAATGCAAACTTCTTGATTTTGATTCGGTATTGTGGGTAGATGAGGAACCGGGGAGACTTTGCAGCTAAAATACTGCTCGCATTTGACTTAAGTTGTAATCGCCAACATAAGTCGATCTGGAAGAAAGCGTTGCAGGGACGAGACAACCTCAGAGCCAGTCTCACCGCCAAACGTTTCACTTTTCTTTTGACAGTAAACGGAGCGTCGCAACATGAAATCGGGCCTAGCTCTTGTAACAATGCAAACGATGAACGCTGGCACCTTTGTGGCACTTGGAGAGACTCGGTGATCCAGAAACATATGGTCCGAACCAACCTATTTTTTCCACAAATTATGACAGCATCTGCAACACATCTTGCAGTCCTACTGGATCATGCCAGATGCTAGATGTGCTCTTAAAAATTCAGTTTCAACGAAACTCACGGAATGTGTCTGTTGCCTGGGAAACAACCACTTCAAGGAGTAGAGAGCATCTACGTCGACGTCTTTCGTCAAGTCCGACCTAGCTGCCATTTGAGGGCGTTGAGAAACTGATGGTAGAACTGAGCAAAGTCCCTAATTGGCATGAAACGACTGTATGGAGTGAGAAGAAACAGAAGTATGGTACTGACGAATATTTGCAAGCCATAGCATCAGTCCTACATACAATTAATTACGATGGCAGCTTCTTGGTCCATCAACCGGTGATCCTTTCTTATAGAGGGATCTGCTTTCACCAGTCTACCAAGGCTGATGTTGGACTGTGACTTCCTAAGGCAACAGTCAGTGACTTGCGTTTGTTTGCATTTTGGGCTTTGCGTACGTGCGACACATTTGTGCGTGGTAATTGAAGCTGAGTGTACATTCTTGCCATTGACTCAAGCCGGATTCAGGATGACGGGCACTTTGTGTCCAATGCGCGAGTTTTGACTGCATTGGCGCTCATCAAGGCTTGAAGAACACTCTGCATTTTCGTCTCATTCCCGGCTCTTGGTCTTTACGCGATTGCTTCCACTCAAAACCTCCTTAAATGATTTGAAGTTCGTCTGGTCTGACTGGATTGAAGAACAGTCTGCATTTTCGTCCCATTCCCGGATCTTTGTCTTTACGCGATTGCTTCCACTCGAAACCTCCTTGAATGATTTGAAGTTCGTCTGGTCTGACTGGAACCGTTTCGACGGATGGGATGCTTCTCCGTTTTTGTATAATATCCTTCTGTTGCCCTTCTATATTCGTTGCTTGGATTGACCCCTATTTTTGTCGACATGCTCTTCAGAAATAAACGATAATGAACAGAGCGTACAGTACCAGAACACTCGAAGACCTGCAAATTATTCGGTGATGTTCAACATGGATTCGTTACATCGTGTTCCTGTATAACCACGTACGGAGGATACAAGAACCAGGTCGATGACCAGACACCTAATGTCAATGTGGTGTGCGAGGCATCAAACGTAATACTTATTGCCCTCCATCATAATACAGAATGCTCCCTTAAATTCAAGTTTGCACCACCACACCTGACCACTCCTGAAACCAGATACAAATCCGAGCAACATATATTCATTCACTTCTGTTTATTGATGAACTGGAATCGTTAAAAGGTCCCAGAATTACGGCGGTTACAATGCACATCTCTAATTGAAGGCTGAATGCCAAACTGAATAAATCAGAGAATAATCAGGGTCGCTCTGTGGTAAATAGCGGCGTTTTGAAATGGACACACCATGTGTGTGAAATGAGCAGGTGGTTCGTCGTGCCATCCTCCTCCCAAAATCCTTGGGAAAAAGATCCGCGTGAAACAACAAAGGATATTCGCTTTGGGGGGCCAATGTGTTCTGATGTGAAAGGTATCTGAAAGAGCTCACCAAGAACGTTGAAATATAGACTGGACAAATTACGGACTACACGATATTCCCAATGAGATTTTTAAAGATATTTATGTTTCAAAATTGATCTTTCCGCACAACAATCTTACTCAGTTGCCTCAGTGTGTTGCGGAACTGAGGTTGATCACGCATGTGGATTTCAGGTAGGCCGGCTGACAGTAATTCACTCAAGCGTGGTGTTTCAGTCACAACAAATTTATTTCATTTCCTTCCGTATTGGTCGAACTTCCATACCTAAAAATCCTTGTGATTTCACATAATTTACTTTCCACAATACCGGATGATTTCCGTAAACTCCAGAGATTGGAAGAGCTGGTATGTCTCAATAGAAATTGTGATGTATTTCCAGAACATAAGCCGCAATAAGTTCCAACAATTTCCAAGTTCGGTCTGCAGAAATGCTAGTATCCTATCACTAGTTGCTCATGGAAACCATTTTCTATCTATACCAAAAGGTAAGAACTTGTGGTTTGATTTTTTGAATCCTCACCGGTTGCAATCTATACTCATGACATAGCAGTATGACGCCATATCCGTTATTTATGGGACGTGGACGAATTACAGTAAGATAATGCGCCATAAAAATGTAAAGTTTAATTGCTCCGAATGTGCGATGAAACTAACGAGCATATCAAATCTTCGTTGAGGGAGATGAGTGAAATAAACGAAAGAAAAATCTCGTGTTTTTCGAGTCCGTGAGCATGACCAGCGGGCCTAAAGAGTATCCGCTTGCTGAGTGGGCTTCGTTTTCTGCAGGTAAAACCGCGAAATATGAGGATGTTGGCGGGTTTAACCAGGGTTACGATGGGACCGTTGGTCCAACATATCCGACCAGTGGTTTTCACCGTCTCTTCCGGTGTGGCACTGGGCATCGCCAGCAAAATCAACTACATTGCTGTGATAATTAGAATAGTGGTAGCCATCTTAACTACCGAATGTACGCGTAGTATAGAAGTCCGAATATGGACGAATGAATACCATATATTCTCGAATATCGCGGGCGTACAATCGATCGCGTCGTAAAACAAAGGCATATAAAAATACACTAAACAGAATGAATAGAATAGAGTCAATATTCACCACAATTGCTCTGGGTTAATTCTTCAGTCAAAACTCATGAACTGTTGCATCGTTGAAGAAATTGCAGCCGTTGATCTGCATTAACTGTTGCAACAAATGCTATATGTTGCGGTGAAAATTTCAGGACCTTTAATTTGCAAATGATCTCGTTGTTGCCTGCAAGCAGTACTCTGTGGAATTAGTGTCCGCATGACTTTCTGTAAGAGGCGTCCGACATTGGAGCACCAGGTATATCTTCCAGGTCTCCGGTATTTTGTAGTGGCAACGTCCCTATGGTATGATAAGATTACCTCCGTTTCCCGCAGTGTAAACGTAGCGTTTAGCTGCCGAAAAAACGTTTGTGACTTTCTGTGACAGTGAAATGGGAGTGGACGGAGCATTCAACGATTATATTGCGGCTGTGCAAGTCTCTGGAAAACGTCTCCAATTGTTTTAGACAACGAATCAGCTATTTCTGCCATGGAGGGACAAGACTCTGAGAAGGGAACAGAAGCAGAACCCGGGGTTGGCGCAAAAGGGGCACATACAACCTGGAAGGATGATAACAACGGTCGGCGCCTCAAAATTGGTGCTATACATGGTGTTACCATTTATAAACTTTATGGTTCACGCAACCAAACTGCGACGTGACATTGCAATCAAATAAATCACGACTAGTCCTAAGACTACAAGATGTACGGAATATTTGACGAATAACGCAAAGTAAAACGGTGGCACGGATATGAATCTGACAGGCTGGAATGAAAAAATTGGGCAGTAAACAGAGCGTGGGTGAAGTTCAAGCAGATAGCGCACCGCAAATTGTGTAAATTTCAGGTCTCTCTCAGGGTGGAAGATGTAGACAAAACGAATCATGAAAAGTTGGAACAAAACAAAATGTAGACAAAACGAATCATGAAAATCCGAAGATAGGTGTACATCATACCAATTAGGTTACCTGTCGATCGGTTGCACAATCAGAGCACGGAATCCTAAGACGAGCATTTATGTTAACCATAATGCGGTTCAGAATGCTTTTGTTTTCCATTCGCATCCGTTAAAGTGATTGGAACTTTAAGTGTGTGACGCCGCTAGCCGCGATACAGATGCACAGGTTTTGAATCAAGCATTCCGTTTCAGAAGTGTTTTGAATTATTCCACTGCACCAGCATGTCTTACAAGCGTATGGAGTCGATCTGAATCTGCCGTCACGCTTCTTACAGTCACCATATGACAGAATGTGTGATTATACCATATTTCCTGCTATAATTTGTGTCCTGTACACTAACTGTTTGCCGGTTAAGACAACTCCGTAAGCTCAGAGGATAGCCGCTGCCTTAACGCTACAGAGAGAGAAGGTGAATTTCTTCATGATGTCGGTATTCACGAATAATAAACTGTTGGGTATCAGAATGTTTTGTAATGTCAATCCACATGCCTGGCGCAATTCTTGTGCATAACGTCTCCCTTTTTCTAGCCGCTACAAATCTCCCTGTGCACACGAGCAGTACACCGAATAGTCGGATAAATTGCGTTCAGCTTTTCTAGGAGGATTAGTTTCCACGTGTGAAGAGTTTCTTTAGCATACAGAAGACCGTTAGATGCCCAATTTTTTCCGCTGCTCCGTCAATCGGTTGTCAGGTGATGCTTAATAGCGTTAGATAGATGGGTTATTAATTCAAGTTATAAATTTAACTCCCTATCACAAGTGCGAGCCCGTCGGTTTTGAAAAGCGGTTTGCGTTTCCTGCATAAATTGGTTGACCTGTCTGGATTTGTAGAGTGCAGTTGTACTCTTGACTTAGCTTTTGATGAGGCACGAAATATTCGGACGGCCGCAAACACCAGACATGGTGAGCTCATTATATCAGGTAAGTTGTTGAGGTAATGTTTCAATCGCCTAGGACTGCGTCGTATTGGATATCTGCGTTGAAGAGTCACTATACTGAGTGGAAGTACTTGACGCTTATCCGCTACCAATTTCGACGAACAAACTTCTACATCTGTTAGCTCAGAAATACACCAGCCTGCGTTTCCAGAAACAACTCAAAAAATGACGAAAATGGCTGTTACAAGGCTCAGATTCATCGACCGGTACCTAGAAAGATTTAACTTACCAGGCGGTGAGACTAAATTCTCGTACGATGGAGCCCTTTTATCCAGAGAACTGTACTGCTGAAATAAGTTCAGCTTGACATTCGCTGAATCGGTGGTTCAAACTGGATAGGGATATTAGACCTCTGCATTTCCGGCCATTGCAAATCTCCACCTACGGAATACTTTGCAATCCACGAGGAAGGATCTTCGCCCCGCGACCCACATCTAATATAACAGTACAATCTTCACCCCTGAAGTACAAGTTCACATGGTTGGTTTGCAGAAAAAATTGCTTTTACCTCTACCTGCCAAAACCGTTTTAAGCAAGGTCTCATAACTGTCAGTTATTCTATAGTTTCCGCTAATCCAACTCAAACTTTTGACCGCCGTAAAAACCATCAGCAAGCGTGTTAAAAGTTGACTGAAGGATTTGGTGTCAACTTTTTTAGGTTGATAGCATCATCTTCAGAGCTGAAACTTCAAAACTACCATGCAAGTGAATAACAAGTAGACTGTGACGAAGAACAAAGACAGTCACGCAAAAAAGTGTCCGATTCAGTAGGTATATTTATATGAACCCACTTAGAGGCCTTTCTTTCAAGGCCTTTTTATTTCACAAGCGTTCAATGCATAAATAACGCACAGAAGAACATGGATAAAATGCGAAAAACACAGCATGTGATTTGATTATTGCGTAGTCTCCAAAATATAGCCAACTTGGCTAAGGCAGAAGACTAGGATCACTACTGTCATATTATCAGTTGACAACCCCTGTTCGTTGCGGCACTGTCCAAAATGAAGAACCACTAAAGCTCCCAATCTCCACACTGTTAGCAGCTGTCTAATCTGGCCCTTAGCTGGAAAACTAAGAGAAACTACATAATCAGATGCTGAACTCTGTGGTCAAACAACCGCGGCTATTTGTGTGAAGCAAGAGTTGCGAATACTCCGTTTTCTTGTGACAAATCCATATACCGCCAAGATTAGGAAGCGCTGCCAGATGACCCCTTGTTGGTCAGGAATAGAAACACGGTATTCTCAGGCAGCAACAGATCGCTGCTGTTTCGCTTGTTGGACACGTGGTTTGGGATGGAAAACCTCCCGAACTTGTTAACTTTCATCTGTAACACTCGGCCCTAGCTTCCATTCCACTTGAGAGAGGCGTGGTGGCTAAAATACTGTCAAATTGCCTGATCCTGGGTAGGAGCAGCTAAAATGCAGTGGTTGGGTTCAAATCATGGACCTCCTTCTAAGTAATGTCGCGCTGCAACTGCATAACTATCCCGAATTAATATATTCAGGTCAAACAGGGAGTGCAGTTGATGGGTCTTAGGCGTCTCGAGGTGAATGGATATTGAGCTCAATTTCTTGTGCTGACCAGCGAGGGGCCACAGGCACAGTCGGTGTGCAACCATACAGGAATTTGCTTCTATCCTGATTAATCATGGGAGCGAGCTCCAACAGAATTTTGCCTTACGTCAAAGAATAGCATTCTTAAGTTTTAAAGCCATGAATGGCTGATACCAGTGAGGTTTAACCTCTTGGGATGAATTTGGTGTCATATTATTCCAAAAACAAAACTCTCGCTAATAATCCTTTCATCTAATGGGGGTGTGATGCGGTTTGTGGTCCGAAAAACCGTTTTTGAATAGTTCACTTTCCCTAACGTTGTTATGCCACCGTCGCCTTTTCTAGTAGATAAAAGATGATAAAATAATCACAAGTGAGTTATTGTTTGATAACATGGCTTAAACTTTGGTGTTTACACCTCAGTATCTTAAGTATCGATATTTACCCTACCGGGGAGCTTCTTGGACGATACTAGTGTTGGTCTGGATTGTAAACTGATGGAAACTGTTCTCACAAAGAACTCATTTAGATTGTAAGGAAGGAAAATCTTACCGCCATTTTTGTTTCTTAGCAACTTTTGGAGAAAAATCAAGCCCGCTTACGAATATGTACTAGTCAAAATTAAATTTGATTAAATTCTTGAAAGCTGTATCCATCATAAAGAGTAAACAAGTGTAAGTGTGTTTGAACTGCGGGCGCTTGGGTAAGGAAGGAAATCTTACCGCCATTTTTGTTTCTTAGCAACTTTTGGAGAAAAATCAAGCCCGCTTACGAATATGTACTAGTCAAAATTAAATTTGATTAAATTCTTGAAAGCTGTATCCATCATAAAGAGTAAACAAGTGTAAGTGTGTTTGAACTGCGGGCGCTTGGAGGCATACACATAGGTGTCAAGTTACCGCAAATGTAATGTCGCCTTAAATGCTACATTTCGACTGTTGATAAAAGAAATATTTACTGTTCCCAACCCAGGTGTTACGTTATGTGTTTTATAAGTTTCCTTCATGTTACGGCAAATACTGTTCACCTTACAGTTTAGCAGTGCACCAAAGTGTGCACTGATCAATTTGCCTGCTAGATACCACATTTTGCATTCCTTCGCTGTTCCAAGGTATTCAATCAGTACAAAAACATAGACCTTGTCGGTACTTTAGACAAGTTTCTCAATCAAATAGTTTGTTTTCTTCTATGAACATTTGATCCATTCCTGATGTGCTTGTAATCGGGCTAGAATCCCCACCAACCGGATTCCTCTCAGCTGCGATGCTAGGGTTGTGAAAAAACTAGGATTTTGCCCGGGTTTGACCCATTCCTTTTGACTTTGTTCTACAAAACGCACTTGTCGACACAAAACCTCGTCTAATAGGCCAGTTGAGCGGTTTCTGGTTCCTCAGAGCTGATATTAGTATTTCGGCCAAGGTCTCGTGTTTGTCGTACTATCTGTTTGATAAATTTGTTCGGAAACCGAGAGGAATTAGTGGGGTTGTTGACCACCAAACATGTTTGATAACCAATAACTCCAAGCCTTTAATATTGGACATACCTGAATTTACACTGGATGTGCCAGTCTCATGGAAATACTATTTAGGTAGGTCTCATTTGGACCAAGTTGGGTCCACCTCACCGCAGCGCTGATCCCATACAATCCCCACCTTTTGGACAGTGTTTCATGGCATTTTTCACACACCTTCAAAAACAGATCCCATTTTTTGGATGAAGATCAACTAGAGAGGGCCAAATTCGATTTTGTGCAGAGTATCATAGAGTTTGCCGCAGTTTTACAGCTTCTAGTGACCTTTTCCAGTTTTTTCTTACTAAGCTACACAAATAACGACCGAGCTGTTCAACATAGCCTCATTTATGGCCCTTTGCGTTTAAATGAACACATGAACTTCAAGGAACACATATGATTTCCTCGTCTATTGCCTGGCAAAATTTTGTCTAAACTTTAGGCTTTGAATTTTCTCGGACCACTTGATTATCTACGTTTACATTCAGAATTTCGATTAATACCTCTCACCCCAGTTACCGCGTGTCATGGGCCGCTTCAACGGTAGCTTTTTCAAACGTGGTTGTACGCAACACTTCGGTCGCGTTGTTATAACCGCATGTAGACGCTAATTTTTGCTTCATCATTTTAAACTAATAAATGTGGTAATACGTAATATAATGCACTATATGATATACATATAATATAACACAATATAATATAGTATACAATACGCGTAGAATTTAGCAAATAATATACACAATGTATGATGTATGTATAACATATAATGGATATAATATAATATAACATAATATAATAAAATATCATACACATTATATATATTATGAACATAATAGATGAAGATAAAAAATTGAAAATGAATAATTCTGCAGCCTTTTGGCTCCTTTTTCCCGGGCACAAACTTCTTGAAAGTGGTATTTTTCAAAGGTATTTAGCAGGTGTTCATCCGTGTAAGAGTGGAAGTTGTGTACGCATTTTTAAAAACATCGAGCCTGGAATTCTTCCGGTTTTTGTCTAGCGATTCACAAATAATCATTTTACTTAAGTCGGATGGTTGACATCTCCACTTTCTTGTGCTGTATACCAACTGTAATCGCTGATGTCGCACACACGGACTATATGGTTGGTATTGATTGGCTGCCAACTATTTGCAGGCAAACAGATAAGAATGACGAAGTCGACCTCGATTAGTGATGACTCCCTATGGTTTAGAAATTGTTCCTATTTTCTGCTCTACTGGCAAAGTTCCTTAAAACTCTTCTAGGGCCCAAGACCGACTCTACCTTCTTAAGACTCGTAAGAAGGCCGAATTCTTCATGTTCCTGTCAATCTTGTTTTCTACTTGAATACATGTGACAAACCACGCTCACCTGAAAACTGGCTTAGTTCTGGCGGAAGATGCAAGTGAACGCCAGAGGAACCTTTTGCCTAAGATGGCAAAGACGAACGCTACTTCAATGGTTGGCATATCGTACCAACTCAAAAATTAGGGTTCATTGCACAATGCATCCAGTTGAAGATTCAGCTGAGGTTCAGCTGTGGCTCCCACCAACATCGATTTATTTGTAAAGGGATGTCTTTTTCAGTTCATTTTTCCTTCCTTGAGGTCTTGTAGGTAACGAGAATGAAAATGAATTTTAACGCACTCTCATAAGGTTGCTGAAAATTCGTCGACATCCCACGGCCGGTTTCGCCTTTCGTGGGGATCAACAGATAGGCGCAGTCCTTGAGTTTCCGTCGACCTTATGTTCTACTTGAAACCAAATTGCGCGAAATTAGCGATCTACACTCATTTGTAAACTAATTTGGTTTTTCGAGAGACTCAACTGGAACCCATCTGAATCTCTCAGTTGTAACGTTTCCAGGCGACTGAAACATGAGGCGGCCTGGTGCAGCACATTCAGTTGCCTGGGAACATCATAAACGGAGACACAGCTGGGTTCCAGGTGAGTCACTCGAAAAACCAAGTTAGTTTGGAAATCAGTATTTCAAAAATGAATTGTTTTGTACTTCAACAATCGTCCAAATGACCCAATTAAGGTGTAAGGTCAGGCTGGGACAACTTGACTGTTTACCTAGGATAAAGTGGGCGTGGTTGATAAGTGTATCACGTGAGTGGATGTCATTCAGGTAAACAATCATTTTGCCCATTTGTAAGTAAATAGTTAGTCACATGGTGGAGTAGCTGTTTTATTTCACGACAACGTATTGTATTTCTGATTCCAATCAAAGAGCAGACGGAAACACTCTTTATGCCGGCCTCCAGTTGGCGTTCGAATACAAACGAAGAAATCAATAAATGTGTTTGGTTGCCTTTGCGTTTCCACCACCAGCAATGGAAAACAGATATTCATTTCGAGGAAACATCTGTCTTGTATAGATAATCCTCTTCATGTTCCAAAGCAATTAGTCGGATGGGTCTAAACAAAACGAGGGAGCAATGAACTTGAGTTTCGCCATTATTAGAGCTCACCAGCGGTTCACATTCTTGAACGCGCCGGGATTTGAACTCCCGAAGTCTGACAGTCGAGTTGACATCATAGAGCACGCTAGATACACCTGAAATGTTGTCACGCCTGAACAGGGGCTCGTTTTCACGCCTGGGTGATGCGAAATTTCACATGTCGCGAATGGTTGTGTCTTGTTCTCTCAGTCGATGGGGAGCAGTCGATTTGTTGAACGACGACGTTTATCCACGGACGAGTGAACACATCATCGCGTCACGGTCACCAAACCGCACCAAATGCTTGCAACATTGTTCTCCACATATCCAGGAATACCCTTTACTGTCTTGCTTGTTTCAAAACTCAGCGTCCTTTTGCCAATGTTTCCAGGCTCAGTTGGCTCGGCAATTTTTCATTGTTTCATGAGAACTGCCCCCATTTTGTGCTCCCCTTTTTACCCTTTGAACATCTCTGCGACTGAAGTGTTTTTGTTCCCGGTTGTAGAAATCGGTCTGATGACATCCCTTCGGCTTCTGGACCTAAGAAAGACAGGACTGACGGAACTGCCTGACAGTTTGCAGCATTTAGTTAACTTGGAAATTCTGATGCTCGATGGGAATCCTCTCCATACTCCGCCTTTATGTGTAAGTTGAAAGCTACTCAGAATTTGGAAGTCACCATTTATGCTTTACTTTTTTTGTATGTGACTCTCTTCTTGATCTGGAATGTGGTCAGTACAGTTTGGCTGCGTTGTACTATCAAATCTTATCGTCAAAATGCATCACATGAGGTTTTTAGGTCACACAGTTGTGTGAGGATATTCCTTGTACTATCAAATCGTCAAAATGCATCACATGAGGTTTTTAGGTCACACAGTTGTGTGAGGATATTCCTTGCTGTCCGTGAATCCGGGCTGTTCTGAAAAAGACGCTCAATACACAGCTGTTTCATCTTCATCGTCAGCAATGCGCAGATCACGAAAATCAGGGAGCTTTTTCGACAACCGATCTTCCGGCCAGTGGCTGATCACTTAAGAGTTCGGCCATGAGTGGCTATGACTAGAAGTCACTTAGACAGGACAGCGAATAATCGTTCTAATCCGGAATTGAACAGTTTTCATCATTGACCTTGGAGAACGAACGGTTGCTCTGATTGGTCAGTCAAAACATTACAAGTCAAGGAAAATCGTGCAAATCTGCCGATGTCAAACAATATTGATTCTTATCTTTCAGAATGGCAGCTGTTTGGACCACTTAAAAACAGTATAGCCAGAAAGTCAAACTTTATAGAGAACGTTTTGACCAGGCCTCACGCTTTAATCAATACGGAATCATATTACATATTAGTGTGTGGTGGAAAATTGCGACCCAACGACACACGACTCATAAGAGTTGCTGGAATATATTCCAAAGCCCACAACGCGTTTCTTACATATTGTGGCTCATCTAGCTGACGTATCCCTCGAGTTTTAACCAAATTAGCGTTCTAATTAAACTCAGTCTTCAACTGAATTCAAAAGTTGTTTTGACGTTTGTGCAGCATTTCAACTGAAAAATATCATGAACGAGTTTTTCGGTCGATTCTGTCGTTAGAATCAATTTATTTTGCAAGTAAATGTGCTTCGCAAGTTGCGTACAATTCGAATCCAAGTAGAACACGGGTTTGGTGGAAACTCTGAGACTTTGCCTAACTGATGCTCCCCAAGAAGAGTGAAACTGGTCACGATCTGTCAAGGGGTTTCCAGCAACATTATGAGTAGTGTGTTCCGTTCAGATCGGAGGGCAGTCACAGTCCGAGAATTTGACTGACTCCAGTGAGAGGTGGTCACCGTGGACAGGCACATTGTAAAAGCGCCTGACTGTATTCGACGACGGTCCTCGCAGCCGGCGGGATATTGCATCTGAAGATGAGGCTGAATGCACTCAGAGTCTGTAAAAAACACAGTATGTATATGTACAGAAACTGACAACAAGAACGCCACTGACATCGGTTGACAGCCATATATTGTAATGTCTCCAACCAGGCACAGTGAGGATCACGCGGTCTTCATCCTGGAAGGCGAGTAGCACCGACAGAACCCAAGCGTTTCGTGATCTCCTTCATACTCCTCTGCAAAGTCAAGGGTTGGCCAACTCTCTGCTTCCGCCACTTTGATTTGGGCATGGAAAACAGCACTCTTCGGCAAATTATGGCCGAGCATACGCAGCACGTGTCCCAACCAACGGAGCTTCTGGTGCTGGACACATTCTTTAATGCACAACAGAAAGCTCGCTTTCTAATTCATTCGTTACGGATACGCCGACATTAACGCACACGAGCTGTGGTTCTGGGACAAAGATTGTCGAACACTTGAAGACGTCTCAATCCCGCTGCTCGAATAGGCCAAGTCTCACAGCCATACAACAAACCAGACCGCACTGTAACTTGATACACACGCCCCTTAACATTCAGAGATACACCACTTTGACGCCATAGGTGTTTCAATTTTGCAAAAGCGACCGGAGCCTTGCAGCTTTGTGCATCGACCTCATCTGTCACACTACAGTCAGAACTAACACAACTTCCTAGATGGGACCACAATCCATCAGAGAGGTCTCTACCTCCAGACACCCATTCGGACAAACTGGATGTAGACGGGCTGCAAATATGCCATTGGTATCGTTTGGCAGAGCACCATTTCCAACTGTGCTCAGTGGTGTTCATTCTTTTGATGATATAATGGTATGTGAACTCATAATAGGGGGAGGGTTATATTACGGCCAGGTGCAGCTGAACATGTGAAATACCTTCCACCATCAAGAGGTATGTCCACTCCAGTTTTCCATGCCACTATCGTCCAAATATGGTGAAGTATGTAAATATGCTTACCAGTGTTCATGTGGAACTGCATTCGCCAACTCTCAAAACGGACGTCAACGTAGATTTCTGCAATTTGAAAATAGCTTCAACAAACGAATCAGATCTTGTGTGTTTTGAACCGATATCTGCTGGGTCCGGTTCGGATCCATAGAGACGTTCCCAAGGTCTTGGTAATTCATAGATTTTGTGCTGAAACCTTTCAAATTTTGTGAATAATTCGTTCGGGACTAATGGTAATTCATGGGAAACATCACACTCGAGAGATTCAGCTGGGTTCCAGGTCAGTCTCTCGAAAAACCAAACTAGTTTGCAGATTGTGTATTTCGCTAACTTCATGCAATTTGGTTTCAAATAAAACATAAGGTTGACGGAAACTCGTGGAAGCGCCCAATGGATAAGTCCCAAGAAGGGCAAAACCAGTCGTGAGCTGTCGACGAATTTTCAGCAACCTTATGAGTAGCGCATTACGAATTTACATGTATCGCGATATCTCGAATATCGTAGCGACTAACAAATGAAGCGGCTGGTGCAGCACATTCAGTTGCCCGGACACATCACAAACGAGAGATTCAGTTGGGTTTAGGTGAGTGTCTCGAAATACTAAATTGGTTTGCAAATGAGTGTACGTTGCTAATTCATGGATCGTTCAGCGGAATATACTTGGAGCACTGCATTAAGCGGTGAGCAGCGGAACGCTTCCATGCATTACACATGAATAGATTGCACCTGAAATGTGCAGATGTTTAGTTTGTCGCCCGAAAGGTAAGTAGCTCTTCAGAATTAAAACGCAGAAGCAGTTGGTTTGAGGTGAAACTTCCACGGTTCCCGAGGCCATATCACCCTCAATTCGCTCACCTGCTCACCGTTTTCAGTGGAACCATTTTTCCGAATGTCTGTTCATCCGCTACCTTGTGCGTAATTCGGTCTTCCTTCGCCAGTGTTATTGCAGTCGAGGTCGCGGGAATGTACATCACCCTCGTTTGGATGGTGGTCTACCTGTCCCGACACAATCACTCTGGTGGGTCTACATCCAGACGGTTCTTTTATTAGAGCTCATCAGCAACCGCAAACCTGACATTCGAGGTTAGCGTGTTACTACCACAGCAGACTGGACGCATTCGAATTTTCACAGGCGAACATGTGAGTTATCGATTCAACGCTTCGAACGACGACCCACTGACCTAACTTGTGATTGGTCCAACTGTCAGTCAGGTCAATTAGGATTCCTTGGCTGCTGGCGTCACAGAAGCTTGAAACCGGCAGTACTCTGGTATTTGTCAAGACAACGAACTAGTGAAATTTTCTGGAAGTTTCGTCGAAACGGTAATTGGCATGACTTGTAGTCCTACGTTCTCGTTCAACTGCTTTGGTCCGCATAGATAAAGGTTGAGAAACCCCGACTGGACAGTATATGATAGTGGAACAGGGGATTATTCTATCTGCGAGAAGATAGCAATGAAGAGTTCAACATAACTGGACTGAACCAAAGTGTCTTAAAAAGCGGTTTTATGTGGTTTGAGTCAGGTTATTCCTCTAGGTCGTCTTCTTTCGGAGCTGAACTTCCGGTTTACTTGGGAGTCACACGTTACAAAGATCTTTCTGAAAAAGTATGGCAAACAAAATTCGTTAGAATTCCTCTGCTGATTGGATGACATGCGCCTTTGAGCGTGTCAGACACGTCACCTGACCCGAGCCGTCTTTCGTATGTTAAAATTTATTCCTTAT